TAATTGTATGCCATGAATCACCTCTTGTTGTATGATTGTGAGAATATACATTGTGATTGTGATTGTGGTTTGTAGAATGGGCGGGTGTCACGATCCGACACACTAACTGGGATCGGTTGCCACGTTCCAGCATAACTAACTTGGATCGAATTGCCACGTTCTGGCATAAATATGAAATCAGATTGCCATGTTCCGGCATAACTAACTTGGATCGAATTGCCACATTTCGGCATGCTAACTGTTTATGTTTGGGTTCCATGAGAGAACCATTGAATTGGGTTCCATGAGAGGACCATTAAATTGTGTTGTGTATCTACTTGTGATGAGTTCGTTCATATCTTGTTGTGCATCTACTTGTGATGAGTTCGTTCATATCTAATGATAATTGATATTGAAAGACGGTACGTTGCTCTAAATTGTTATAACTGTGATATGTTCGAATCGTGAAGTTGTTCATTGTTCGTATGTGTTAATGATATTGTATATGTTCTATATGTGCATGTGATTATATTATTGTATTGACTAATATATGTTACACTTAGTGGGATAGCCGCGTGATCCTACCAGTACACGGTGGTTGTGTACTGATATTGCACTTGCTCTTATTTTTGTTGAGTACAGGGCATCTTCCGGCGGCTATTGACAGACCTCGTTTAGAAGATCAGTGATTGCCGATTCGAATTCAAGGGTGAGCCAGTTCTTCCGGGCTACCTTGAGTTCTCGTTTTGTCTAGTCCATCATATTCAGACTTAGACTAGTTCTTTAGATGATTTTCTCGTTTAGACTTATGAATCTTGTTAGAGTTTTGGTACATTGACTTTCAGGTTCTAGGTTATTTCTTCCGCATTTGTTAGTTATTGTTGAACTTTTGTTAGAGTTTATATGCCTTAGTTTTTAGATTGATTGCTTGGTTTGGGTTGTAGTAGTGGTTCTCCCACCGGATTGTTAGTGTGGGTGCCAATCACGACGGTCTGGGTCGTGACAAGACCGTCGTGACAAAGTTGGTATCAGACCCCTAGGTTCGTTGATCTCATTGTACCAAAACGAGTCTAGTAGAGTCCTGCGGAACGGTACGATGACGTCCGTACTTTTCTTCGAGAGGCTATAGGACTTTAGGAAAAACTCCCTTCTTTCTACTCCTTCGTGCTATGACTTGAATCCAATTGGTATCTGGGTGATACAAATTGGTATCTTTCCTTCTTCACTCTATGGTCCGAACTAGAGTAACAAAAGTGGTAACACCATCACTAGCAAGAGAGGATGTGTATAGACTACTGACAGTCGAATAGAGTCTCCATTTGGAACAAGTATCCATTGCCTCGGATAGATGATTTTTTTGATCAGTTGCAAGGTACATCGGTTTTCTCTAAGATTGATTTAAGGTCTGGTTACCATCAGTTAAAGATTGAGGCGGTTAAGAATTGAGTTCGACCAAGTTGTGTGATTGAAATTAGTAGTTTTGTGGGCCTTGCTAGCTACTATTGTCGCTTGTGGTATGAGTTGAGTCCAATTGGTATCTCAACGAAGTAAACTAGATGTTGTGGTCACGACTGAGGGACCCCAAGCAAAGCAAATTGGAAACTGAGAAGATTCTAATTGGTATCTGGCCCTAGGGGTGGTGTGAATGCATGGATGATCAGGAATGGTCATCCATGGAGCGAAATAATTACTTATGAATTTGGAATTATCCGTGAATTGTATCACGCCCCGAGCCTACACCTCGAACGTGGCTGACACTCGAGAACCATTGTTGGCCCCAAGCGACCCCTTGGCCTGGCTTACTTACTCAACGGAAGACTTGAACACAAGATATATAGCTCATTGCAATAACTTAAAAGATAATAACTTAGCCAAAAATGGCAACTCCAGTCTTAACCGTATACAACTGAATGAATAAGACTAAAGAACTAATATTATCTATCTATGAAGACTCTAAAACAAAAAGGGATGTCGGGACAGGACCCCTGATCATCCTAACAACTAAAACTAGAGAGCAAATGATAAAAGAGTCCTCTGGAATGCAAAGAGGCTCACCAACTGACTCGGAGTGCTGAACCTGATCAACGAGGCGCTAGATACAGATCCTGGTGACCTGTGTCTGCATCATCAGACGATGCAGGCCAACTGGCATCAGTACATTAATTTACGAGTATGAGAGTTGGAATGCTAAACAATACATAGACTTGAAAAGATTCTGAAAGGACTGAAGAACCTACCCGGCTCAACTCAACTTAACATAACTGAACTCACTTCAATATAAAACAGTCTAAAAACAAGTGCAATATAAGGAAAAATTGTTTAAAACATGTTGTCAATTATGTGTATTTAGAAATACAATAGTAACTCTGTATGTATGCAAAGATACAATATGAACTCTGTTTATATATAAAAATACAAAATACTACTGTGGGAGTTTCTATAACCGACAACCATCACTTAAGAGCTATAGTGATGATACAACATTTTACCTCATGCTGCCAAGGACCGTCCTATACCTTGCCGGGGGTATAGAACCTAACTCACTAAGTGAATCCACTAGTTTATACTAAAAGCATCTTAAGGAGTCACCTAAAAAGTATGATCCTTTACTACCCATGATGGCTACATGGTTTATGGAGACTTGAGTTAATATGAACTCGCATCCCCATATCGGTGCTCAGTACTACTCCCAAAATATACTTAGCTCATATGTTTTTAAAACAAACTTCTTTCTTTGGTTTGAGATAATTACTCAAAACTTAGCTTAAAAGCTCTCTTGGAATCGATGTTCCCTTTTCTTAATACTTAGTTCCCTTATAGCTTTTTTTGAGAAATGAACTCAACTCTTTACTCTTTGCTTAACTTGAAACTTAAGTCTTTAAACAAAGTTAAAACGTTTGTTAAAAACTTTTGAAAACTTTAAAAACTTTGCTTTGACTTGCCTCTTAACTTCTCTTGACTTTGATCCTAACTTTCCTTGAATTGAATTATGGATTCAAGGTTAATGATCTCATGTTTATGGATGATTTCATGATGTTTATATGTACCTTAGAGTGTTGGAATCAACTAGTAAACATAGGTACATTGCTAAGGAACAAGTACGAAAACATGGGGGAAGAATGGGAAGAACTGACGTTCCATGCGCTCTGAGAGGCGCGGGGCGCCAACCCTTGAGATTCAGGGACCAAGTTGGGGTGCTCTGGCTGGAGTGGCGCCGTAGAGCTCAACATTCAGATACCCCTTTTTGGGTATCTGAGAGGCACGACGCGCCAGGGCCCTCTCCAGGTGTTCCTAGACTTTTCTTCTTCGTTTTTCAACTCTAAACCCTCCCAATCAACTTAGTTCTTTCCCCAAACACTTACAATCGATTATATCCTCAATGTATACCAGATTCAACTTAAAATTACACCCAAAAACATGAATCAAATCGCAAGAAACTCCAACCACACAACCCACAAGAAATTCAACGAAACTTTCAACAATATTCATCAAGAACTCAATTTTAAACTTTCAAAGACTTAAATTCGCTGAATTGAATCATGGCTAGAGCGTGGGTGAAATAACCCAACGCTATATTACCTCACATACCTTTTTAGGGATCACCTTCGATGAAATCCACAAGCTATCCTTGGCGAAATCGACGAATCTTGAACCTTCTTCTCCTTTCTCCTCTTTTCTCCTGTTCTCCAAGCCCTAGCATGAAAATCACTTTTCTAAAACTGACTAAAATATGACTTAAGCCCAATTAAACTTCTAAAAATGAATTCGAATAATTAAGTAAGGAAAAGACTAAATTACCCTTCCAAAATTCAGATTAGACTTTTCTTAATCCAACAGCCCAACTTTCAAAAAGAATAACTTACTAATACGAACTCGGAATCGTGCAAACTCAACGGTGTTGGAAAGATCATTCCAAGAGCTTTCCAACCATATCTGGAAATACTCACAACTCATATTGAGCTAGGAGTTATTCCATTTGAAGTTGACCAAAACTCAACTTATTCTAACTTAACAATTTTTTCCAGATTTTCATTCTTTCTAAAAATGAGTATTTCCAATTATTGGCTTCTTCCTAGTTATTTCAAATTGCGAGATGTTAAAATATCTCCCCCTTGAGAACATTCGTCCTCGATTTAGATTACTCTTACTAGGCTAAGGGTGTAACATCAAGTTCAAACACCCAACAAGCAAATGCAAACAAACAACATGCTCACTCATAATTTAAAGAGTACTAAGAAGAGAATTAGTACCTTGGTCTGCATTTTCTCCGGATTCGAAGAGATGTGGATATTTGTTCTTCATATCCTCCTCAGCTTCCCAAGTAGCTTTCTCAACAAATTGGTTCCCCCAATCACGACGGTCTGGGTCGTGACACGCCTCTATTTATATCTACCAAAAAGTAGTATGAATAGGTGTTAACTGTGCCTTATCCAAAAAGTCACAACCTTTCGAAAAAGTCACTGCTTATCGGAAAAGTCACAACCCTTTGAAAAAGGCACAACTCATCAGAAAAGGCACAACCCTTTAGTAAAGTCACAACCCTTCGAAAAAGTCACAACTCATTGAAAATGTCACAACCCGTCAAAAAGTCACAACCCTTTGAAAAATTCGCAACTCATTGAAAAGTTACAATCCTTTATTTTGAAAATGTATCTACTTTCAATATGATAAAATTAATTAAATTAATAAATAAAATAAATTGAGTATTTTTAATTGAGAGTATTATAGTAATTCAACATTCAAATTTGGGAGTTCATGCTTTTAAGTATGTATAAGTATGTCTGTGTTTGTATATATACTAGATAAGCAAGCCCGTGCTAAGCACGGGCCCAACACAATTGATTATGCACACAAGTTATTTTAGTAGCACATTCAAAAGTTATCTTCATGTTCTCATACTTGGTTCATAATTACAAACTTATGTACAAGAACTGAAAAGTTATAAATTAAATGTGTATCCGTCCTATATATTGATTTTCATATTAGTGAGTAAGTAGTACAATGTCATTGCAATGAAGAAGTTGATAATATTATTGCATATATGTAAGAAAGCAAATGCATCTGCTTTGTGTATTACACAAATTTCAACTTATGCTCATATGATAATTCTCTTTTCGAACTTAAAAGGCTTCTCTAGAGAAAATTGAGAGACATGTTCTTCAAATTGATCACAATAGCCATGTTGCCATTAAGATTAGCCACCAAAATGCTGTAGAAAACATGACCAAGTGCCTCCACATGATTTTATTGGAATTGTTGATTTTAAAAATCCAATTTAAAAACAAAACATTGCTATGTAATCATGAAAACCAAAGAATTGAAAAATAACATCAAATTTCTTTCCTTCTCTAAGTTCGTTCCTGCAAAACCAGGAAGAAAAATAATGTCTTACATAAAAGAGAGGACACTTTGGCTAAAGCTCTTCATTTACTGGACTCGGAAAATTTGCTTACTACCAAATTTATTTATCCCAAAAATAAAAAGAAAATACTTTTTGATATAGAAGCATCATCTATTGACTACAAATTTCAAGTATTTCTTGGGAGTAACAATGTCACACAAGTAGATATGAGAATTAAGATGGGCGTCTTCTCCTTATCAGTTCTAAAATATTTCGAGTAGACTCCCTACATGTGATTACTTAGGTCAGATGGTAAGTGTTGAAGCTCCTGTTAGTGTTCGCTCTTTATCAGAGGTATCATGAGACATAGATACAATTCTAAACCTATTGATAGAACATATAAATTATTACCCTGTATTTTGTTTTTAATATATAACCCGTCTCATTTCAGCCTTCAAGTACCTTTCTTGTCCATTTGTTTACCTCAAGTCAGTAACTCCAAAATGGCAAGAGAACTTTTCATTGTTAATGATATCTTTGATAGAGCATTTTCTACTAACAGCTTGCTCAAACATGTTGGTCACTTTCCATGTTAATGCAGTGAGCCTCAAGTCCATTTCTCGTGATTATAGATGCTAGAATAACTATAATATTCAGACGTTGAAGAGTCTAAAGACATCTCGGAAGCATTTGACAAAGAAGGGTTATCCTCATCCTAGAGAGAAATCAGTAAGCATGTTAACTTCAAGTCATATGTATAATAAGTAATTACCGAGAAATAAAAAATGATTCAGAAACAATGAATTACATCAAGTGACTAATATGCTCTGCCTATTAAATTTGTAAGATTTAAGCTCTATCTGGTACACTAACTTTAAACTTTAAGTTACGGGACTTAGCACACAGGACCTTTGTTTGTTATAGGGGAACCATCTCTATTAGTCAAGCTTGACAGTCACTACCTAACGTTTTTGGTAAATAAAAATTCAATATGTCCGAGAATGAAAATGAGGACATATTCAGCAGAAAGTTTGAAAGTTTATTGAACCAAAATAAATGATAACCCAATTACTGCTTAAGGATAGGGCATACTTCAGGAAAGGTTGAGAGAAATAGAAAACCTGAACTCCACATGAAGTCCCATTTCATTAAAATTCATCACATATCAAAAGATAGAGATCATGCCAAATCATATTAACTTGTATTGATGAATTGTTTAAGGTAAATTTAATAGTAGGCTATGATTTTAAACATCCAATGCAGAAAAATACTTTATATATCTGCAGATAGACATGAACATAATCTAAAGCAAATACATACATATTACATAGAGTACAAAAGACAATTGATCTCGTGCTTCAATCATCTTAGGAATATCCTCATGCTAAAGGGAAGAAATTATCACTAACATGGTGCCTCCATTAGTTGGAGGCACAAGTTATTCCTAAGTTTAAATATCGATTCAAAACTATAAAAGATACTTTGAACAAGAAAAAGAAAGAAGCAGTAAACCAGTGAAAGTGAATTACCAACCTGACCAGCAAGTGAGAATAGCAAGATTCCCCTTGACCTCCTTGGGGAGTTGGCAGTTGAATTCATCAAAAGAATAAACTGAAAACTTAAAGGATGACAACACCTTTAAGCTTCAATCTTCATATCAATGTTTGATGAGCTATGAATAACTAAGGTTGTCTAAATCGAAATAAACTCAACTACATAGTAATCGTGAAGAAATAGAGATTACCTTGCAATGTATAAGCATAAATCTCATATCATATTTAAGCCAACATTCTCACCCTACCTGCAATCAAATCAGCCAAATAAACCAAAAAAAGGAGTGTGTAATCCATATAGTGACCCTAAATATCAACTCAACTAATTAAAATAATAAAATCAAATTCGAAGAAGTGAAATAATTAGCTTTAAGTTGTAGAGCATCTGTTAAAAGATCAAAGAATGCATATTATCAAGCACTTCTCTACTGATCTATATCGCAAGATCCCAACATTTACAAGTTATGCTCTTCTATATAATAAAAAAAAAAAGTTTTAGATTTTTCATTTCAGGTGAGATCTATAGCACAAGATCCCAGCATTTATTGTGAGGTGATCATCGGTGTCAGGTTGTGTTTGATGTTGTTGATTCTCTTGGTATTCCTAAAATGCAAACTTTAAGTATTGATGGTGTTTTAGATCAATCCCATTGTTCGAGGAAATATCTCGTTTAGTAAATGAAGAGTCCAACCTAATTATATTTAACAATTCTTTCCTAAACTATTACAATGGATCTAATAATTCCTTTCTCAGAAGATGGTCATAGCTTTCTAGAGCAATCCTTGGTGACTTATGTTTGTCATAGTTAATTTCAGATTCTTCAAAAAAAAGAGGTATAATTTTTTTAAAAAAAAACAGAGAAGTATAGGATTTGACTTTCGTACGATGAAACATTTATCCATACTGCATAAAGGAAGAACTGCAATCTTTCATTTAAGAGCAATTCTTAGGGGTGCAGTCCTGAGTCACAAACTACTACATTCATATTCACCTCATTTCTGCATAAGTAGAACTTGCTAGTAAGTCCACTAATAAACACTTCTAAACGATATCTAGTCAATAATCAAGTACAATGTTAAAGACCAATAAATTAGAGAATAAATAAATTTAAATCATTAGTCTTTATATCAGACAGAAGTTATCAAGGATTTTTCAATTGATAGTCATATTCTCAATAAGTAATCATCAGGAAAAAAAGAGAGGAAAAAACTCACTCTACATTTTCCTTTTCCTCAAGTTCATATAAATTAACCAAAGCAATGAAACTGCATTGAGAGGAAGAGAACTCAATGTACCATTAATCTTTATGCTTGTGTGTATTTGATTTTAGGAAAATCAAGTAGAATAAGAGATATCAAGTGCAAGTTAGAAGGAATTTTTTTTTGGTATGTGCATGTTAGTCCTTCTTTTCAACCAGAAAGTTACTACAGAGTAATTCAAATTGTGCCAAAAAGGAAAAACATAGCACAATTTTTTAAAAGGAGAACAAACGTGCACATACACGACTTTTATCCTTCAAGATTTGTGTTAGCAGCATTATATTAATGGACATTGCACGAAGATCATGTAAAGTTTTTTCCACCACACTGCTTTCTTTCTTTTCTTAGCGTCCACAACTCCCCTGTCTTGTTAGAAGCAAAGCTACTGTCAACAAAAATCTGATATTAAGGCCTTATGTAGGGGACACTCTATGAATTTTTTTTTCCTATAAATACATTTGTTGTAACCTAGAACAGCCCGTATATATATTGTTCTAAGGAGTTTTTCTTCTCCATATTTAATTCTCCACTACCCACTTCTACTTCTTGACAACTATCTTGTCTTTGATTAGATACACTTATTTACTTATAAGAAGAATAGTAGTTTCATGGTTAGAACTACTATAGATCAAGGCTAGATGTTGAACAATCATGAAGCTAATGACTATGTTAAACTTGGCAACTTAAGCAAATTGGAATAAAGTAAAGGATCACATTTACATGCTGTTTATTCTGTATTATTAAAGGATGTTGCGATTCCAAAGATGATCTTCATGAAAGATTAAGAAACTACACCGGCCAAAGCTTCAAAAGCAGCCTAGTGGTGTTAGGTTTCCCTCGTTACCTAAGCATCTAACTTACCATGCGAGTTTGGAGACTTCTGTTTTAGTTGCCCTGCATCATCATCATTATAAAAGTTGATTAAAAATTTTAGTGGCCGGTATGAAGTCGATGACTTAAGGGAGAAGAGGAATGCAATAAAGTCACAGCAAGCAGAAGAATTTAGCTAAACTATAAAGGATGTGACGATGTGAATGAAAATCATTTGCTATTAATTAAAAGTTAGGAAATTTTCTAATTAGCTTTAAGCGTTTATTTTCTTTGTTGATACTTACATAGATTACCACTAAGAGTGATGAATAGCATGCTGCAAAATGTGGATGCAATTATGTCTCAGACTGACTCGACACTAAGTATAATGTGTCAGTTTAATGCTATCAGTTTTCTCTGACTACTTGAGTTTATGAAGCTTAGCGTTGTATCGTATAGATATAATCTTCTAAAAATAGAAAATATGACTAATTTAAAACCAAGCTCTGCATTTGTTCTTATCATGTTCAAAAGGTTCCTTTTAGAAGTTCGCAAAGTTTGTATTCCAATAAATAAATTCTACATCTTTCACAAAGTACAATCTTCAAGAAAAATAATTTTACCAAATAAACAAAATAAAGTACGGCTATATATAAATCTTTAAACCTAAACCTAGGATAAAAGGCATGTAATCTGAAGTTCTGTTCAATGGGATGTAGCTTATTGACTGCTATGTGCATACATTGAAGGGAAATGAACAAGAAAGCCTTGAAGGTGCACTTATAAGGACTCGGTTAGTATAGATGCTTGAGTATTTTTTTAGAGAACCTTTTATTTCTTTCTTACATTTGGTTGTGAAGGGGTGTACGAAATGATTTCTGTATTTTTTCTAAGACGATGTTAATCCTACTTCTTACAAGAAATTGAAAATCAAGAAAGTCGGAATGTCACCATAACCTTGAAGACCAAAGCAGATGGGTTTGTTCATAGTAAATCGCAATTCCTCTGACCTAAAAGAGCATACACTAATATTAAGAAGTACTATAAAAATTTCAAGTGAAAAAAGAACATGAAGAAGAATCCCTATTCAAGTTGTTGGTTCAGACTGGCTACAAATTGCTTCTTGTTTAATTCAAACTGAAAGCTAAATGAAAATTTGAATAAATAAGTATCTATTGTCTTTATGAAAGAACAATCATTTTCATCAAAGAAGCAACCATGTTACACTTCAAAAAAAATCTGAAACAAAGCATCAAAATTGGAGAAACACTAATACTTACCCAGTTGTAATTTCTCCGATGTAGTTTCCCATCAATTTACACACTCTTCCACCTTGATTAAACTAACCCTTTAATGTAGTTTCAATCCCCTTAATAAAGAAAAAAAAACATTAATAGAGATAGAATTGAAAGAAAAACAAGATAGAGTCATAATATCCAACTAAGAAAGTGAAAAGAATTTTGCTCCATAGAACCACAAAAAGGAAGTATCAATTCATACCTTGTTTTAAAAAAATTCAGAGAATTTTCATACAAATGGATGATTCGAGATTCGTTTGAAGGATTTGCGATTGGTTTCGATGGTAACAATGGAGGGTAGCCCCCCCTCGAGGATTTGTCCATGGAGGAGTAAGGAGATCGGTGATACTTTCAGATTGTAATGAAATTTTATGGTGGAGACGGAGAGTGAGAGAGTGGAGAGATGAAGATTCTAGAGTGAACCTAAAGCTTCTCGAATGAACATAAAAAATATTTATGATGACTAACAAATCATAATTACAACTTTGCCCTCAGATGATTGGTATAATATCTGTTTTGCCATTGGTCGTTCTCCTCTTCACATTTCTATATAATAGAAATATATAATAAAAAATTAAGTATTTTTAAAATAATTAATTTTACAATGCCTTTGGCTATTTAATAGCATAGCATATAAAAATAAAAGGTTTTAATTTGCTACGACTCTTATCTACAATAACCAAATTATTGGCATACTGAAAATGCATATAAATAATATAAACTACTATTGATGTCTGTATTCTCAAGTCTATGTCCCAAAAAATCGGGTTTTTTTCCAAACAAATTTTAATTTCTACTAAGTAAAAATAAAAATATATGTACAATTAGGTCACTTGTGTTTTGAAATTTGCACTTGAAACATTATATCATATTGAATTAACAAATACTCCTCCTATCTCAATTTATATGACACATTTTCCTTTTTAGTTAGTATAAAAAAAGAATGACAAAATTTATTATTTGACAAATATTTAACTATATTACCAACATTTTATCCATATTGAATCTAAATTACTTGTAAAATAATTCATAAAGGTGTATTTTTATCAATAACGTTTCTTATATAACTAAATAAATGGAATAATGTATGTATGTACTTAAGTTTGAGGAAAATGGTCTAACCCCCCCCCCTCCCCCAAACCTTTACCTGAAATCCCAACTACACACTCTAACTTCACTTGTGTCCTATCACTCTCCCTCACCAAAGTCTGATTACAACATCTGAATACGCATTTCTATGATTATTGTTATGTTTTTTTTTATTGCCTTCATGTAAGAGATGAATGGGTTTACTTTGATACTCTAAGGTGGTACCATGTTGGTGTGTTAGATTTAAGTAGTGGGGAACCAATATAAAATGGTGGAAAAATTTCAGAATTTTTGGATATTAATGTATCATATTTTGAGTTGTGATAATGCTAAACTACACTTCATCCAATTCTAAGTGTAGGCGATCGCAATCTAGTATAAACTCAACGAAGAGTTGGGATCGATCCCACATGGAGTGATACGGTAGAGAATTCAAGTAGGAAATGAAAGACATTTACTTTTGGGAATACTTAGTTCCCTTATATTCATTTTGAAAAATGAAACTCGACTCTCCTCATTCTCATACTCATTTACTCAAGTCTTTAAACAAATTATAAATAATTTTAAAAGACTTCTCAAAATAGGGTTCATGCCGAATTATGGACGTAAACGACTCAATTAAAGGGTTTCAATAACCACATATAGGACTCAATACTTGGAACTCGGTAACTCCATAACTCAAGGACTCAATGATACTACTCATCTCAAGAATGCTCAACTCATAGGGTTCATGCGGAATTATGAGCATGACTGACTCAACTCAAGGACCTCCATGTACTACATACAGTAATCCCGTAATTATGAAATATAGTTTCAAAAAGGGTTAGGAACTCAATACTCAAGAACTTAGAACTTGAAGGTACTCCCCATCTCAAGAACACTCCATTCATAGAGATCATGCGGAATTATGGACATGAACGACTCGACTCAAGGATCTCAATGACAATATAGAACTCATGAGTACAACTCTTCTCATTCTCATATTTACTTCCTCAAGACTTAGTTCAAAACTATAGTTGATTTCGAAAGAATTCTCAATTTGACTCAAAGGACTCCCTCGAACTTTACTCTTAACTCTACCTTGAATTTGGAAAGTGAATTCAAGAGTTATGGTTTGGATATATAGGACTTCTCATTGATTAGATGTAGTTTGGATAGTTAAAATCAAGAAGAGAGCGAAGATACGTTTTAAAAGAACTTAGACAGAACGAACGACAGAAAATGAACGGGGGCAGGCGACCTCGCAATCCTGGCACAGGGCGCCAACCGCACATCAACTGCAGCCCATTTCTGGCCCACTGCAGGTGTAGCGCGCCAACCCTCCTAGCACATCTGTGGCGTGTCAGCCCTCCTAGCTTATCCGTGGCGCGTCATGCCACCCCTTCCCCAAAATGTTCTAACGATTTTTTCTTCTCGATTTTTGGCCCTAATTCACCTAGAACGATTGATTTCTTCCAAACTCTCTTAGATTCGTATACCCAACATAAGTAAATGAAAACCTACTCAAATATCCTTAATAAAAAACCCTCAAACTCAAGCCCTCTCCTCAAGAACTCATCAAACTCCAATAATAAAGATTGAAGAACGAAACTTCAAGTAAACTCATCAAGAACTTCAATACACAAATTTCATGGACGAATTTGATAAAGAAACTCATGATTGGCGTGTGGGTGAACCAACCCATCACTATGAAGAGTTACACACCTCAAAGAACTAGGTTCTTGGCGAAATCTTGGATGAACGCTAGGAACCTTGAACTTTTTCTCCTCATGAACCTTCTCTCTAAAGCCCTAAACGTTTTGGGGATGAATGAAACTGATTCTAATCAGTTTAGACCCTAAATTGGGTGTAATTCACGCTTAGACTAAGTGGGAGTAAGGAAAAGACTAAAATACCCCTTCTTAGTTCGGGTGAAAAGGCCCTATCTAGAGAGGCTGCACTCAAACGGTCATATCTACCTCATCCGAACTCGGATTTTAGCAAACTCGGTGGCGTTGGAAAGAGGACTCAAAGATCTTCGATTTGATACCTCATGGGACACCTAACTCATTATGTGCTAAAATTTATGGTCATTTGAAGTTGACACAAAACTTAAAAGAACTTACGGATGACTTGAATGAGTTTCTCTTCAGTTCTTTTTGGAACTCGAGGTGTTACATCTAGTGACCTTGACACCTAAGAAAATTTAAATTATTTGATAAAATCTTACTCACAACGAAGAATGGTTCCATTCTTAGCTCAAAAAATTTTGGGGTGTTACATTTAATGAGAACCAAGGTCACCCAAAGAATATCGGAACAGGTTCAGCCAGTAGGCTATTTATGGCTAGAGAATAAGTATAAGATATAGCAAAGGAGAGAATCCTGTAAGGACTCTCCTTAAGAAAACGACATACTATCAGGTTGTTAATTGTATTCAAAGTAAGTTTATGAATTATTTAAAATTATTTTTCTCGTTGTTTCACTTTAATATCAGTATCTAAATCTTTTACTGAGGTTGTGAAGTTCAATACAGTTGTAAATTTCATAAGGTGCGTTTTTTTATGTTACATGATATTAGTGTAGTAATATGTAAAACTTCTTCTCGTTCATAATTAATTTGCTGGTGGTTGAAAAAATTAACCTACACCTTAATATCTTTGTTTTGTTTGGAAAAGTTGATAAGGATTTCGTAGAAGAAGTTTTGTAATGAACTCAAACCTGCTCACCCTCGTTTAATAAATTCTCATTAGTGATAATAGTTACTTGACATAATCAGTTGGTTTTGTTTAAATAACTCATATAGTTGTGGAAACATCATAAGGACATAAATCGTTCAACTCTTAGGAAATATTAAGTGATAGTCTAGGGACTGGTTGCATATCAAGAACTCGAATATTTGTAATTCCATGAAAACCAACAAACAACACAACCCATTTTGATATTATTTATCTAACTACTGCTATTTGAGCTCTAATTATTCAAAATCTCTTCAATATTTATGGAATAGAATTTGACCCTTAAATTTGGTATTTGTCCCAGTAGTAGGCTATTTTCTTCTTTTTCCTAGTGTGATTCGGCCCCAACCTTGTTTTGGTTATTATATTTGCATATGATCACATTACATCATGTGAAGGTGTTTCTTAAGCGTTTCAAATTTATCATCACATGTTTGATTGTTTTAGTTATGAAATAGGTTGATCATGGCACAAGAAGCAGCACGACGAGCACAAGATGCACAATGCATAATATCGCTAATGACGCTATAGACTGAAGGTATTCAAATACTCCTTCACTATAGCAGCACGAACTTGGCTCCACAACTTGCCAACAAAATCTATCACCGCATGGGCAGAGTTCGTCAATATGTTCTTAAATAAGTGGTTCCCTCTAAGTAACCACTACAATTGTCAAATAAAATAAGAAGCAGGTCAACTGATCTCTAATATGGCCACACACATAGAACTATTGACCAAGAGATTTACGAAAAATAATCTAAGATGAGTTAAAACGGTCAAATATGTGCAAGTTATCAAGGGTAAATTATGCTTAGCAGATGATGCAAAGTTAAGAGGCTCCTCCAATGCAATTTGAGGAAGCTAATTATGTGAACAATTCTTAGAACAAATATCAATGCTAGAGCTGCAAAGGTCAGAACTATCAGAGTCAATGGATACCACAACCGCAAGTTTAGCATAACCAATGGACCGGGTATCAAAAATGAAGTAATTAGAGTAAAGGTCAATACAAAAATAACAATAACTTCGGAAATAAAAGTGCAAATTTGTACGTACCTCCTAGAGGGAAGATATCTAACTCACAACAGTGGTGAATGGTGCTTGAGATTGCTTTACAGAACTAAGAGAGGACATATGCAAAAGTTCGCACCATGTCTGAGATGGTCAACTCCCATACTGCCTCTATCCAAAATCATGAAATGCAAATGAGAGACATCGTAAGAGATCAAAACTGCCTCAAAGGGCAGCTTTCAAGAAACACTATTGAGTAATCTATCTCATTTCATGGAAATCATCACTTGAAGTAGCAGGTTGGTCCCAAAAGAGGTAGAAAAGTTTGAAGTTGTTGAACCGACTATAGTTATATATTGTTATCTCCTATATTCAGGTTGGCAAAAAACAGAAACAAAAAAGATGAAACAAACAGAAAAATAGAATCCGAGTCCACAGAACCCACTGTGTTTTCTTAAGAAATTTAATTCCCTCAAGTACCCGAGGTTACAGATTAATTCCTCCCAAGATAAAATGGATTAACTATTACAGAAGTAGTGGTACCTCAAACTTCACTAATTTCAGCGAACGCAAGAACATCAATGAGAGCACAC